TGAAAATATTAACTTCAAATCTGTGTCCAGACCCCCTTAAACCTCATGTTTAAAAAAAACCCAGAAAAATACTAGTTCAGTGTATCAAAATCAAGAAACATACATCTCATAGACAATATTTACAATCGTATACATTTTAGTACATATAATGATAAGATTAACATCCAACGTGTACAATATAATTATAACAAAATGATATTTTCAGTAATTCATAAATTGGTTAAAGTCATTGTTCTTTTTGCAGTCGCTAATTGCTAGAAGGTCCTTGTGGTTGCTAAAATTCCTAGATTACATATTTTTTTAACATTCTGTGTACTATGTGATTGTATCAATTTGAAGACACTTGGTCTTTGGGAGTAGTTGCTTTTTATGTATTTTTGTGTTAAATGTATTATGATGTGGACATTTTATAGCAAAATGGAATTCATCTTCCATGTCCCCTAATTCACAAAGAATACATGTTGCATTATTTCTCATAATTTTGTTATATCTTCCTGGTTCATAATACTAATAGTTGAGTAAAATCTTAATTCCAGGTAAATATTTTCAAGGAATAACATACATATCGTTATTTTTAATTGCCCATGATATTATTTTTTTTTTTTAAAAAAGTCTTTTGAAATGTTCAAAGTGTAATTGAAATATTGGTCCTAATATCAAGATTTCTGTGTACCATATTTTGCCCAAGTAATCCGATGTTTATTTGTCTCAACATGCTTTGCTCGACGTCTTTGTATTGATATACATATTTATCATAAATAGATTTAAAACAAAAATATATCGTATATTGAAAATTATCCATTGATATCACCTTCTTGTTGATTAGAAAATAAGGATAACTTTGAAAATTATGAGAAGAAATAGATTTTATAAATGTAAACATGTATATTCGTGAGATTTATTTGATGACAAAGGATATAATCAAAACAAGGACGACTGAATGAACGACTTTGAAATATCTATATATATTACGATTTTAGACATTACTTATTCATACCAATATTAATTTAATAACATTTTTTTTTTTTTTTTTTTTTTTTTTTTTTTTTGCAAAAATTCGTGATATTAGGGTCCGAGAAAAAAATTATCACTGGGATGGGAACCCGGTTATACACGGGTCTGAGACTGAACCCTTTTTTTCTTTTTCTTCAAAAACTGTGGGAAAAGCACATTTTTTTCAATTCTAATTTTTTCCAATTCAAATTTTCAAAAACCATGAATGTACAAAAACAAACCAGAACTTCTTGATTAATCTCCGAATTTACTTTTTCCTGTGAACTTATGATTGAAATAATTTTAAGTTTTAAGTAATAGTATTTGTATTTTTGATGAGATGATACAAGTTAGAAATATATTTTCTAAAAAAGGACTTTTAAAAAAAATTATATTTCTGACTCCTCTACATTGAGATATCACGAAATAATATTCTTAATGTTGCAATGATCCAATGATTGGTAAAGCTTGCTGGGTGACCATGCATATGTAGAAAATGAAACCTGCTTTTAATTCTATTGATTTTTTCATTCATCTTATCAATCTTTGTCACAGTTATATACAGAGATTTCTCAAAATTGCTACACACTATACAGCATGCACTATTCGTTAAAAAATGTTCATTATCAAAATATACTGTACTGTATGTAGTGTGAATTAAGTACCGTGAGATAGGGTGATTCCACGGAAAAAGGAAATAAAGTCGATCACCATAAATTTTTGCGAGCTCGACAACTAGCTACATGTAAGAGCCAAAACAAACGTGGACATGTTTAGAACATCATTTATGAAAATAAATTCCGTTGTGAATTGAACATAAGTGTTATTATGTGTTGTATTTAAGGAGATGAACTAGTAAGTTGATAGAACTTGTTTCCGATCCAATTGATTGGCATTTTGTAAGACGTATTTCTTGCGGGTTTTTTTCTTGATTTTTTCCAAGTTATATCCAGTAACCGATACCAAAGCTATCAGAAAATGGCGACATTCATTTCATTTACACATTTATGTTTTGTTTAATTTTGCTTTGCTTTATAAAAAAAAAATATTATTTAAATCCGGAAACATTAAAAATTTACACAAGATTTCACCCCTGAGCCGTGCGCACTATCTACGACCTTTACGGACGCCAATTTTTACAAAAGAAAATTAATTAATCAAAACCAGACTATTCTGAATAGGATTTTTATAACAAATATTTGGGTATACAATATGTATGTTTAATACCATTCACATTGAACGAAACGACATAGCACACGAACGTTCTTGACAACGCATGTATGTAAGCTTTATTTATTGAAACAGAAGTCAAGTTGCGAAATAAATCAAATAATTAAAGAAAAAACCACATATATCAAAAGTCTACAAAAAAAACTTAAAGAGTGTGCTAGTAATTCAATTGTTGGGATAAAATAATTGTAAATTGAATCTCTTTTTTTGTTTTGCAACATTGATATGTTCTGATCCCTTTCGCTCTTCTTTAAATTGAACTGAACATTCCCATCAGCAATGCCCTAGCTTATTGGCCAACGTTTTCAAAGCTGATTGGTTGATAGGCGGAGTCACATCAAACAAGCACAGTAATGATCACAAAAACAGATTTCAATTTGTACTATTTATTTAAAAATTAAGAAATTTCCTATCTACAGACATAACGGGCCTATATAGAAAAGAAACACATCAAAGAAATGCATAATAATAACCATATAATGTACCTGCCGGTATGCGACTACTTTATGTTATTACGGCCTTGGGTAAGACATATTTTACAATCCCCTCGCACGAAGTAGGAGGGGATATAGTATTTAGCGTTTGTGGGTGCGACAGTGGGTGAATGCGTGCCATTTCCTTCCTTGCTAAATTGAATATTTTGTTTTGAACATATTTTATTGACATAAGCAAATGGATCAGAAACAAGTTCTTACAACTTATTGGTTCCTCTCCTTATGAATAAGGATTGAATATTTGTTGCTATTTAACTTGTTTTTTCGTAATTTTGTATTGCAATCACAGAAATATAAATAAACATAAATCTTACGCAAAAACTTAAGATTTTTTGTGAAAAGGGCTACAGTATTTTAGGATTTTTTTTATTTCGTGAATATTGAGTTGTGTGCAATCGGATTCGGAATTGTCCTTTCCTTCACTCGCACTCGGTTGCTTGATGGAAGAGTCAACTGTAAATATTTCATATATTTAAAAGTTTTAGTGGTTACATGTATGTGACGTGTTTTGCTAAAGAGAAAGAATTGGGGGGGGGGGGATTGAATTGAAGTATTACAAATAAAACGTGTTTGTGGTTGCAATAATGATAATTAATTTTACACGTATATTCTTTTGCGAGGGGATGCTGCGCTTTGCGGTGCCTATAAGTTTGTTTTTGTTTTTAAAAAAAGATAATGACCGTGTAATAATATATATATAAAATATAAAATATTTATATTTTGCTAAAACAAAGCAGGAAAACTCTTTATTTCTTAGTTTTAAAACCTAGTAGTTGTGGTTGTATTACTGTTTTCGATGTAGATATCGATTTTAAAGCATTCGACAAATTCCAGATTCTATCAAGAACTCAAATTATTTACTATTTATATTTCACACCATCTATGTATATGTCGAAATTTAGATACTTATAATGATTCAAAGTTATGATTATACATAACTACTGATAACTTTTTTTTTATTATTTACATGTATATATGTTCACTTTATCATGAAAACTACATTAATACCTAGCTACAATTGATTTCGAAACAAATTGTTACCTGCATGTAAGGTTCTAATTATTATTTTTTTAAAGATTTCTTTTTTATAACTACATGTATGTAAAACTTTGATGGCCCATTGTGACCAGCCCTATACCTTGGGATCATGATTTGAACAAACTTGAATCTACACTATTTGAGAATGTTTCCATATAAATATGACTAATCATTTCTTTGCTGTTCTTGATAAGAAGATTTTTAAAAAAAATTTCAAATATATTCCTGTGTAAAACTTTGATTGTCAATTGTGGCCCCTCCTACACCGCACGGGGGGGGGGGGTGTCAAGATTTTAACAAACTTGAATCTACATGTGCAGTGCTTGAGGATTCTTCAATGTAAATACAATGAATCATGGCTTCGCTATCTTTGAGAAGATTTTAAAAGATTTTTCTAATATATTCCTTTGTAAAACTTTGATTACCCAGTGGCCCCATCTTACCCCGGGGATCATGATTTGAACAAACTTAAATCTACACTATATCGGAAGAAGATTTAAAAAAGCAGTAATTTCACTAATTCTTAATTACCTCCCCTTGGAAGAGGTCGTGTCCCTTTATTTTATGAAATTTGAATTCCCTTTACAATGGATCCAACTTTAATTGAAATTGGCCCAGTTGTTCTGGAGAAGATATAAATATGTGAAAAGTTTATGACAATGACGACAACGCGACCACAGAGACAGACAGCGGACAAAATTCAGCTCAGGGGACCCAAAAAGGAAAAATAATTTTAACTTTCATTTTGTTGCATACAATTTGCAATTCAGATGAAAATGAGTGCAATATATTTTTCCCCTATACCAAATTTAATTCTGCCTTCAAGATTTTAAAACGCCCGTCTTACTGAGATTTAATATCAGATATCAATGGTGAGAATATCCAAGTTCCCACTTACCCAAAGTTTACGGAACCAAATCGGACAGAAATCTACACGAGGATTTTGGTGATTCATTGTCCGAATTAACTGTTCTGCGGCTCCTTTGTGGGTATACTATAAACAGGGATCCCCATTGTCCATTATAGGGGTTACTACTGGCGGCTGACTTTTAACTCTTAATCTCTACACTCATTTACTTTTAAATCTTTTGTTTTTGTTTTTTTCCTGCGGGATAGGAAAATGACTTTAAATCATCAAATCACTTAAAACGATTACGGGGTGATATTAAAGAACGGTACTGAGGTATGGTATCCTCACTCTTTGTTGTAAGGTTTGACAGGACAGTTTGAGAGAGAAAAACCAACATGGAGCTATACAGAAGTTTGGCATTAGAGGTAAGGAAGGATCTATGAATGTACTATTTGAACACTATGATGCTCCCTCTTAGGGGAAAATCCAGAAAATTTCTAGATCTCTACCTTTTAGCAATTGCTTTCACATGGGCATGCAATCATTTATTTTTTTTAAAGAATTCATCTGACTAATTATTTCAAGCAGAGAAGCTGTAGGAGAAATTCAAAAAATTAGATACTGTAATTTATAACGATATTTTTATGCCTTCCACTGCAAAAATAAACCGTATACAGCGGGTTGATTTGGAAATATTGAGCGGTCTGTTCGCTCTGTAGATGCGCCTGAAATTGCTGTGGTGCTAAATGGTACTAAAACCCGACAGCAGTCATTTATGATCTCCCAAAGCCAAAGCTACCATCTCAAACACCTTCGTTAGGAGCCCGACGGGAATTGTTAGTCTTTATAAGGCAAAACACTGGCTTGTCAAAATCGCAAATTAGCAAATCCCTATCAATCCGGCAACAATGGATTACCAAGATACCCCGTTCTCACAACAAACGATAATTATTTATCTCTTTAGAAGATGATGGTGCCCAGGGATCGTTGTTTTTGATTGTTTACCTGGTCCGGCGTGACACCTTGGTCCGTGATTATGGTTTATTTAGCGTAAATGACCACGCATTGTACTCCGTCCATACGGACACTAATGCATTTTACAAACTGACGGTCTGTTCTCGACTAGGTGATAAAACCCGCAGGTTCTCGTTCGATCTCCGGCAGGCGAGGCGAGGGATCGATCGCGATTCAATCAGGACAAATTGATTTGTTGTGGTGGACGGCAGGTGATCCGCGCCTTGGTCATCTGCCACCACTGGATAGATCATACAATAGTACCCGCTGTTAAAGACCTCTATACAATTCTTAGTCTTCATTTATAGAAAATGCTTGTGTTCTAAAATTGTTTTTAACATTCAAAATAAATATTTTACAAAAAAAATTTATTGGGTTTTTTTCCCTTCAATTTTTGTTTTACCTGTTGTAACATAGGGAAAAAATGTTATAGTTCTAAAATCTAATTTAGAAATGATTCATAAAATATATAATATTTATTGAATATCTCTAGTTGTTTATAAATTCTGGGGGGAAAATAATTTATTTTTTGTAATTAAGATAAGAATTAAATGCCCAAACTCAAGACTTAGTGCATAAAAGAGTCATATGCATGCACCGTGAAAACGTAATGGGAGAAAATTTCTCACTTAAAACTGTCCCTGTAATTCATGTTTATCTTTGACACGGAGGAAATTAAAATTAAATTATTCATTTTCTTTATTTTGGAGGTGGAGCGGGAGGGAGAAGACATGAATCGTTTCATTTCATATGGAAAAATATAAATTTCAGTTATTTTTTTTTTAAAGAGAGAATTCTACACAAAAAGGAAATATATATGAGAAATGACAACGTTCTTTCTTTTTTTTTTTTTTTAAATCAAGCTGCCGAACTAAATTCGTTCGTGAATGATTATCTAATTTATGTACACATATATATAGGTTCATATCATTATCTACCGTTTCTAGGTTAATTCTGTAAAATTATGAAATTAACTTTGGTCCACCGTAAGAAAAGCTTACAACAGTTGGTCTCATTTTCCCTTGTTCTGTAATTACATTATTTGTCAACGAGTGTCATATGAAACATAACATAAGTACGGAAACATAAGGCCAGAATATGATAAATAAATGAAAAAGTGACAAACGCGTTATTTTCCATTAATTAGACAATAGAATTAGCCCCAAGAACATGATCAAACTTATTAATATATAATGACTGGGAAACTCCAAAATCTGTGACTTCAATAACGAGATTAATCAAATTTCGATTGTCAGATGGATAGGATTAATTTATTAAGCTACAGAACAATAATCCTGGCTAAGCTTTTACAAACGTATGGGTCGCGCATTGATATTTATTAGTGGGCGTCAAAATTCTCGAGTCTCGACCAATCAAATTGCTCGGTTGGCATATTCCTAAAGCGGAACATAATGTGATTACAAATATGTGGTAATAAAATATGTGAAACCTCTGAAATGGAATAAAAGACTAGGATACATGTCATAAATCGCAGAACATAGAAATTCTCTGAATTATATAAGAATCAGGATTAGTTTTTATGGAGTTTTGATAATCAAGTACAGTTCCTAGGCTATTACGGAAAGATTTACAAAACAAGTTTCATTTTTTAAGATTCTAAGAGAAGAAAAAGACATGTACAGACCGTATTTGACGGAGGGGAAAGTCGACCCCGTCAACTCACCCACCGCCAACTCGGGTAAGTCTAGTTCTAGTTTTTGTTTTTTAAAAAATGGCGTTATTTGTAAAGTTGAAAAGTATAAGGAATTAATTTCAGTATCTTTTTAAAAAATTAAATATTTTTCAGCGGCTTAAATTTCACATTATAAAAGATGAGGAGAACGGAAAAAATTAAACATGCATTTATTTTCTAATAATTAAAAAAAAAAAGACAAAATATTTTTTCTATGGTAAAAAAAAAAATGATACAGGTCTCTCACAGGCATTTTTGGGGTACCAGGTTGCATGAAAAAAAAAAATTACATTTTCGACTTAATTTGAATAGGGCATGTAAATATTTAAAGATGATTTCTGTTTGTAAATTCAGTAGTGATCCTGTTGAGGACGGTCACCATTATTATTACGTGGTCAAAGCATATGATGTTAAATTAAAATAAAATAAATAAAAATTATTCAAAACGTCCTTAACTTAGTTCATCAATTTGAATTATTATCTCAAGAATTTTGTTTTATAGTAGTTGATCCGTTATATGAATTTTTCTTTAACATATGAAGAATAATGTTAAAACTTAAAAAAGATTTAGCTAAACAAGAAAAAAAATGAAAGGAAATGTTTGTTTTGTTCTTCGATTCATTGTTTTTACGTATTATATTTTTTTTCTTCTTTTTTTTTTCTAATAAAATGCACATTCTTTATAAGCATGTTTGGTAACGATCTCCCAGAGAGTACTCAGATAGGTTTATCTTGATCTATCTAAATAAAATACACTTAATTTATTACATTTGCTTAAACAATTAATATAAGATATATTAGATATATTTTTCAATTATATCTGTATTTGAAATTTTTCGTAACCGATCGAGTATATCAATCAGAAGATATATTACAATAATTATTTCTTTAATCATTAAGAATGAGGAAAAACTAAAGGAATTCAAAATAATATTTCAACATAATTTTTAGTTCAAAAACAATTTTTGTTACGATTATATATTAATTATGTATATCTGTGAAAGAGAAAAATTATCGAGGAAAAATGAATATTCATGTATAATAGTATAAATAAACTTAGGTTGATGAAAAAAATATATTACCTCACAATATAGTTTTGTGAATTCCACTTTTCAATGAAAATAATTTGAAAAACATAGGTCCTAATAAATAATTTATAAAGATAACAATTTCATTTCTCAGATTCTGGAGTGGACGATCCGTCTATCAGTCCGTCCTGTAGTTCACCGGATTATAAGTCTGACGCCGACCAATCCGGATCTTTATCTCAGTCGGAATCATCAGCCTTCAGTAAAATTCGGAAACCCTCCGTAAACTTGGACCATCGATACCCCTTTCCATCAGCAGCCGTCCCGATGATGTACCCCAGTCCAGGGCTAGGTTATTTCCCATCATTTCCCGTGTCACCATGGATACCAGCCGACGCCCTAGCGAAAGGATTTCCACCAGTTCCTTCATCGACTTCCCGAGCGGAAATCACTCCCCGTGAAGCTCCATCAGATGACGTGTTTTACCGCGTGGATCCCAGAGTTCCCTTCACCAACTACTTCATGAACCTCACAAAGCTCCTGAAAAAAGAGGAAAAGAGTTCTGATAACAATTCAAGTGCAAGAGAGCATGAAAGCTATGAAACAGTGTCCAAAGAAGAACCAGAATCAGATTCCGAAGACGAAACCAACAGAGATGAGGGAAGAGAGACTCCGAAATCTCCCTCCAATCCAGCAGACGATTACAAGTCACATCCGGTCCGGGACAGAGAATACCGGAACCTGTCTGCTATGATGGCTAACCCAGCCCTGTTATGTCTCTCTCAGATGCATCCTTACCCATCAAAAGTTCCTTCGATGGATGCCCTTCCCCATCTCTCCGGCTCCATACCCCAAGCGTCCATGATTCAGTTTATGAGCGGAATGTCTGGTCAGTCAGCCATGATTCACCCAGCGTTTCTTCACATGTCAGCTCTGGGGCAGAAGCGACTTAATCAGGAAAAACCTCCGCCAGTGAAGAAGTACAAATGTGACGTTTGTGGCAAGGCGTTTTCGAGGAGCAACACTCTGGTCACCCATAAGGTAAAAAAAAAATAGCGATTAAAAATTTGATTGAATCAACTGATGTATTTTTTGAAGTGACAAAAATATTGGTCCATTTCATATTTTAAGTTTCTTATATAAATGCTTTCCCATCAAGTTATAACTGAATTCTTTAAAAGAAAATAAAATTTGTACGTGTATACAAAAATAAAATATAAGCATAAACTGTGTAATTACATTTCTTATGTTTCTAAAAACATAAAAAAAATTTCTTCATTAAATATCATGTTCCTAAAAATTGTAAAATCAACAGCAGATATTCACTCAGACAATATTAAAATTCATTAATTAGGACTGTACATACACGGGGCCGAGGGGGGGGGGGGGGCTTTTCCTGAGAATGTTCTTTTATGTTGTTTTACTATGAAAATACTTATTAGGAAGCTGCTTGTCCCTCCCTCTTTTTGTTGCTGTTCGGTGAAACACTGAGAAATCCCAGCAAATCCCAGCATGTGAAAAAAAGTACCAAAAAGAAAAAAGGCCATCCCACCCAAGAAATAGGATTTTTGAGTTTAGGCAATATAGGTTAATTTTTGTTTTTGTTTGTTTGTTTTTTTTTTTTTGTTTTTTTTTTTTTTTGTTTTTTGTTTGGCTATCAGAGGTTGCTCCCTCCACTTTGAAAAACGTTGCTACGTGCCTGCTGTAACAACAAAGTAAATCTATTCATAAAATCAAATTTTGTTGTTCGAATATGTCAGATTTGAAAAAAAAAATAATCTTGGTACAATAGTGGATGCTAAAGAAAGTAAATGTTTTCCTCCCACTATTTACTAATGGGGAATTTAAAAAAAAATTATTAATGATTTAAATTTGGAGCCATCTGTTCAAATATGGACGATGGAAAATATTCTATCTATGTAATATTGATTGTATTAATCCTTCTCGGCATTTAAACGAACATAACGCCATAAGCCACGCGGTAACGAAATGTTTTGATGTGCCAAATGGAGAGAAAATATCCCCGCGCATCGCATTTGTTTATAAAATACTAAACAAACAACGGTTCAACTAGACAATTTCCGGCAATTGTCCAAAACATTGATTATAATGAGAAAATAATGGAATTTCCTAGGGATATTTTACTATCTGAGAGTACTACAAATTTGGCATTTGCTTTGTAAGAATTGAAAGTTCAGATTGAAAAGGATTGAAATGAAAATTAATGGAGTATTCAATTATCACTTCACCGGTGTTTGGAAATAGATTTTACCAAAAACCAACAATCGCTTGATCAATGGATGGCGGGCGTGAAGAACACGCGACTCTCTCACTTTTGTCAATAATGCCGATAGTGAGTCGGTCACGGATCTGTTTGTTTGTCTTTTAGGGAAAGTTACTGCATTTAAGTAATTTTAATTAAATCATAACCATTAAAATGTCCAAATAAACAGAAAATATTTTTTAAAGTCTACTTTCAGTAATGATTATACTTTTAAAGTAAGTAAGTCAGTTATTGTTTATATAGGAGTCACATGCCAGATATTACAAATAAAACAACACATGTTTAATTACATATAAAATATTGGCATCCTGCCTAAAAGACCTATGGGACACTATATAAAATATGTATAAATTATATCTTTTTCCACAATTAAAAAAAAATAGTTACACCAGGGCTTATTTAAAATACTTGCATGTTTCTTTACAGATTATACATACTATCAATCGAAATTTAAAAAAAAAGTGTTAAATAATTTTAATTTTTTAATTTGTTTTAAAAATGTGTATATATTTTTTTTATCTTAAAAGAACAACTCAAACTCTATGTATTTATTTAAAAAGATTGTAAATAGAAATGAAAATGTATATTATTATAAAGTTCGTTGGTTTTAAAAATTGATTATGCATTTTTTGATATAAATTAATTTTTTTTCCCTTTCAGCGTATCCACACGGGAGATAAGCCCTTCAAGTGTGAGATTTGCGGGAGAGCATTCCGGCAACCGGGCAATCTTACACGTCATCGACTGACCCACACCACGGTTAAGCCTTACGTCTGCCCGACCTGCAACAAGGCCTTCAACCGGGCCTCCAACTTACACACGCACATGCGCACTCACACCAACTACCGACCCTTCATCTGCCCGTTTTGTGGGAAGGGATTCCACCAGAAGATTGACATGAAAATACACTGCTACACACATACTGGTAGGTAGGTCTCTACTTACATGTTAAAAAAAGGTATACAATTAAATGTCCGTGTTATTTTTAAATTTCATGTATTACTTTGCACATATTTGTTTTGGGTAAAAATTCTATCTAATTAATTCTAACTTGACAGGTGAACGCCCCCACCGCTGTGATATCTGTGGGAAGGGCTTTACCCTGGCCAGCACCCTCAACACGCACCGCCGAATTCACTCGGAACAGCGGGGATTCCCTCTGATGGAAACTGAGGTTTCCCCCGCGGCAACCACCTCAACGTCAACGAGCGATGCCTAGCGGTTGGCAGAGCAATATCGATTCATCCTAATAGATAGTTTACACATAAAAAAGTGCACAAACTCAAAGTAGTAATATACATTGTACCTGGTATTTATGGTGTACATATCACCATCTTAATACATTATCAACATAGAATTCATAATCGTGACGTAGTGAACAGTAAATTATCGTTTATTTTATTTATTGTTAGTGATGTGTTTTAATTTAATTTTTAGCTGTGTATATGGTGCAATTTTGTTACATTTTTTGTTATTTATGAAATAAATAAATGATTGAAATGAAGTTGGTATTTTCAAGACATCCCTTATATCATTACCACCAGAGGATATGTTCTCTCTAAAAATAATAATCACATCGTTACAGAGTCCGTAAAGAATGAAATATGGAGATAACGAACAGAATTCAAGCTATAAGTCCATTTAAACAATACAAATCGGGAGCAGAATAAACACGGACCTCTAAAAATATCAAATTTAAGACCAATCGCCTGTTTTCAAAGACTTTATATGTAAAATGATATAGGAGGGATTTGAAGATATAATGAAGAGTTTACACATGTGCAATAGAAGATCAAACTCGTATCTCAAGTTGCCAGTGATTCAAATGTAGCAATCAGAACATGATTTATTTACACGGCAACTTTTGTAAAAATGTTCAAATATAGAGCAAATATCTTTCACATCTGATCTAGAAACTTCAGTGATTTTGAAAAATCAAACTCCATTTTTCAACTGTAATAACTTATTCAGACGTCTCGAGGTCGAAATGACTGTCCCAAGGGACGTTGCTCCTGTATGTGAGATTTAGTACCTCCCTGAATATCCCGAATCATTTGCTGTATGAATTATTTAATACAATATAATATGGCAGTTCAGGGGAACTTAAAACTTGAGAAAGCCACAATAAACCTACTTTCCTTGGAGAATTCACTGTTCTTCCCTCTTCAATACTCTCTGCTTTGTAACATCCCTTTTTACACTTACGGACTGTCGTAAACATAAACTATTTATATCTCTCCAAAACGTGGCCCTAGTTCCGGGGAGCTCGTGTTTATTCAATTTGGATGGCAGTAATTGAGTTATCACCCTACATAAAAAGAGCATCCAGGCGATTGTGTGGTACCAGTAGAGAAAATACTAATTATGCATTATCTATGCAGAGACCTTTCATGTTTAAATTTACCTCCGAAAAAAACCCCCTTTTTTACGAAAGCCTTTCAGGATCAAACTACGAGAACAGGCATGCAAAGTGAAAAAGGTGTATTACTCAAAGTGAAAAAAAAAAAACTTAGAAACGCAGAAAAAGCGTACTAATAACTCGAAAAAATGGCTTTATTATGAATTATAACGAGAAGTGAAAAAAGATATAATGCCTTTAGAAATGGCATAGTAACGCAAAATGGAAAATTAAAAAAAGGCTTTATTATATATGAATGGTGGGACCAAAACCATTTAAAGTCATGCAAAATCTTTTTTTTTTAAATCTCGCACGTCTAGCAGACAACTCGTTGCATAAAACCCAGGGTTCAGGCTCAGGTTGCAGTAAGCTGATCATATATTGAACAATTATTTTTATTTTGAACAATCTTTTCTCTTGGACACTGAGAAGGCAAACTACTTGCACTTTCATAATTAGCAATACACCTTCCACAAAAATTTAAAATCCATGTCTCCATGATCCAGGGTTTCGGCATTAGAGTAGGGCTTAGTTTTATATTGCAAAAAATATTAAGGCTTTGAAAAAAATGGAAATCTAGATACGAATATTATCACACTACCAAACTGTGTAGATATTTGCTCCAATCACAAAGACTTTCAACAAAAAAATCTCTCGCTGTACCGCCTAATTCTGAGATACCATATAATCGATGTGATATGGCAACATGTCCCAACTACAGTGCAGGGAACTAATTTTGTTACATAAACCAGCATCAGCATAAGCATTAGTAGCATCAGGATCGAGCTAGCATCAGCATCAGCATTTAAAAAACAGCATTACCAGGATCAGCATCAGCAAGCAAAGGATAAAACCAGCATTGACCTACATAAAATCAGGATTATCCTACTAGCATCAGAAAATCAATGAGTTTTAATTCAGTAAAAAAATAAACAAGAAAGAAAGAATATTGGTTAAAGTATTCACATTATTGATACATACTGAGATATTATGATCAAATAATTGTAAAAGGCACTTTTATTGCTTTAAACGGCAATGCTGAAATTCATTATCTACTTCCGGTAGCATGATGCTACTTCCGGTAGCATTGACCTAATTATAAAACAGCATCAGGATAAGGATTACTAGCATTAAATCAGCAAGCAAAGGAAGCATTCAAATCAGCAAGCAAAGGAAGCATTCAAATCAGCATCGATGCTGTAACAAAATTAGTTTCCTGCACTGTACACGGGTTCCTACTTGTTATTGACAGTACCAGTACTGAACCCAAACTCTGTAGCCTCTCAACGACACCTCTTGACTAAATTTTCTCGAATCTCTGCTATAAGTTCCTTCAGATCTGAGTGGGTTGCCTGGGAGTGGAAGAGATTTTGGACAGATGATGATGGCATCTAGCTGGCAATACAATAATTTTGGCCAAAAGAGATATATCTCGCATTTTTTCGTACGACGGCCAGCTTTGGACTACGGCATTTGCACATATGCAGCACATTTGCACATACGCGGCACACTGGAAATGTCTCTCTCCTACTGATGGTATTGGTAGTGTTATGTTTGGAGCTGACTTTAGTATCGTTTTGGCTTGTTTGGTCCGCATTGAGGAAGCCTACATTCGTTGCAGATGACACTACATGTTCAGGTAGCAAACATTTTGGAAGGTTCTATCAAGAAAAGTTGTGGGAAGAATTTTCAAAGTCCTTTATTTTTGGATCCTGTTAATGGTTGTCTATCTCGGGGCTTTAGTCTAGATGAACATAGGTCACTAGAGTAATATCTAAGGAGGACATTTATAAATATAAAGAAAAAGTAATTAACAATTCTTTATTATTACATTTGTTTAAATATTGTCCATATTTCCTTGTCAAAGAATAAATTAAACTGGTTTTTCTTTTAAAGCGACAGTACGGCTGCAAAACGTGTGCTTTTTCATTCAAATTTACCCAAAATATCAGTAAGAAATAAGGTATAATGTTGATGTAAGCAGTTTGAGAAACAGAAATATTCTCTCCTCAAACAAAATTAACGTAATTAGAATCTGCCGGAAAATCAAGGGTCGTACGAACTGGGGCAATCTTAGATCTGTTTATTTGTACCAAGTGAATTCTAAAATGGCACGTGCCTACACTGTAGAGTTTACAATTATAATGAATATGAGGTAAAAGCAATTTTCAAAATCAAATTATCATAATTTTCAGAAAAAAAAATCTAAAATTATAACCGTAAAGATTTTAGTCTGCTTTCAGGCGAATTTAACAGAATTAAAAGTACAAATGTTGACGTTTTGTGTATTGGGGTCCGAGAAAGGAAAAACTACCAACTCATACGTTATCGCGGCAAATGTCAAACAAAATATTTTTTCTGCACAGTTAAAAAAAATTAGCACTTCAAATGGCAACAATGTTTACGTCATAGGTGTATTTTTATGTTGAGTTTACACTAATTTTTTTTTCTTTGAAAGCGATGGAAAAATGAGAAATGATAACAAGTATCAACAAACCTGTTGAGTAAAACCTTTGCGATCCCTGCGTGAGTGTCGCCGAATTCCCGTTTCTTCCTTATCCAAAGATTATATTAATCCCCAAACTAAATTTTAGTCTGGAAAGTTGCTTTTTCAAGCTCTATTTTCAGTTTCTTTTTCTTTTTGGTCGACTTTGTCAATGTAGCAGGCCTACCGGGATTCCCTCTCTAACCATGCTGTTCTGTTTATGAAAACTACGCATGCGTGTATACATGTACATGTAGCATGGAATGTGGAACCCCGAACACGTAGCGATGTATATATTTATGTCCCATAAATAACTATTAATTTTAATGAAATAATCAAAATTATTTAATTGTGACAGTTGTAATTTTCTCCAAGTTTATACATTTATGAGTAGTAAAAGAATTCCAAATCTTGTCGGAAAATTTTATCAAGTCAGTTTTTTGATGAGATGCGCCGTACTGTCACTTTAATATTCCATTGAAGTGATAACAAAAATAGATGCTATATCTCATAAAATATAAATATATTAAGCTTTGCATTGAAAAAAAAAATGTATTTGATAGCTAAAAATAAAGTAATAAAATATAAATATGCTTATTTTCCGAAAATAAAGAAACAAGATGTGTCTGAGAAACACTGATGCCTCCGTATGGCAGTTCATGGCGAAGGTTGGGGTTTCTCAAATGCAAGTAAAACTCCAAGGTCAAGAGATCAAAACTGTTGGTACTCAAAGAAAGGCCTTGTCACAAGAATTCACCTGTAAAATATTAAAGCCCACCACCAACTATTCAAAAGTTATGGCCAAGTTTAAAGTTTTTTCAAAAATGGGTCAAACTCCAAGTTCAAGGTCAGAACCAATGGTGCCCAATAGAGGGTCTTGTCACAGGAAATACACACGTGAAATATAAAAGCTATAGCACCAATCGTTCAAAAGTTATGACCAAGGTAAAAGTTTTTCAAAAGTAAGTCAAACTCCAAGGTGTCGCCTGCGTGGCACAGTGGTTAGAGCGCCTGCTCTAGAGTCGCGGAGTAAGGAGCTGATCCTTACGTCGCGGGTTCGAATCCACTGTGGGACATGGAGACCGGTCCTTCGGATAAGACCGTATAAATGAGGTCCCGTGTCGCAGTAGGTGTTGGCACGAAAAAGATCCTCACTGCTCAATTGCCCTGAGTGGCGAGTATAGGTATAAATTTGCAGCCCTCCACCGGCAAAAGGTGGCGTCTCCATTTGAGTGAAATATTCTTGAGAGGGACGTTAAACAACAAATAAACATACGTCAAGGTCAAAGGGCCAAAATCGTTGGTACCCAAGGGAAGGTCTGTCACAAGGAATGCACC